ACAGCCTCAAGACGGTCAAATATTCATTCTTCTTTCTAAAAACAGAATAGGATCTATCCCCCCCGGCGTTATCACTCCCCCTTTCGGGTACGTAAATCACATATGATTCTGACCACATGTCCATCCTAAATATGAATTTACACTATCCCCGGGGGGCCGGTATTCCCCCCTGAGGTTCCCGTGTAAAAAAAACACTATGCGGTGACATCGTTTGTTCTAACATCACACTTTTTCGCTAATTCCTTGCAACAAAAGGGACGAAATGCACACGCGCGCGTCGTCGCGCGCGCATGCCGCAATCCTTCAAAAACCTTCGGTGCCGGAAGGATTTCGCAATCGAGTTTCAAAAAAACATGCAAAAAACACAGGGTTTCGCAACACTGATTTGCTAAAAAAGCTTCCGCGCGAGCTCTTGCGAAATCTTAAGAAAACCACAGATTTTCAAAATTTTCACAACATGCTATTAAACGGGCTTCGCGCGCGCGTATGTCGAAATCTGTCGAACGCCCTTGCGCGTGTGCCGTCGCGAGAATCCTTTGCAAAAAACGGGACGAAGTGCAGACGCGCGCGTCGTCGCGCGCGCATGCCGAAAACCTTCAAAACCCATCGGTTTCGGAAGGATTTCAAAATCGTGCGTCCAAAAAACATACAAAAACCCAAGGTTTCGCAACACGGATTTTCAACAAAAGCGTGCGCGCGCGCTCTTGCGACGTCGTCGTCGTCGCCGTCCTCCCTCCTCCCGCGTCGTCGTCGTCGTCGCCTACGTCGTCCTCTGTCTTTTCTCGTGTTCGTCGTCGTCGTTCTCTTTGGCGTCGTGGTCGTTTCCGTCGTCGTTGTCGCCGTGGTCGTCCTTCCTCCTCCTCCCACGTCGTCGTCGTCGTCGTCCGTCGTCGGCGTCTCGTCGTCGTCCCTCCTATTTCGTCGCCGTCGTCGTCGTCGTTGTCGTCGTCGTCTTCCCTCCACCCTCGTCGTTGTCGTCGTCGGCGTCGCCGTCCTTCCTCCTTCGTCGTCGTTCGCGTCGTCGCCGTCCTCTCTCCTCCCTCGTCGTTGTCGTCGTTGTCGTCATTGTCGCCGTCGTCGTCCTTCCTCCTCCCTCGTCGTCGCCTTCGTTGGAGTCGTCGTCGTCATCGTCGTCGTCGTCGTTGTCGTCGTCGAAATCGTCGGAGACGTCGTCGGTGTCGTCGTCGTCGTTGTCGTCGGTGTCGTCGTAGTCGGTCTTAACAGGTTTTGCAAACCAAGTTGCGGGTGGGTGGGGTGGGATGTTTGCGCGAGCAGTGGAGATGACGACTTCAAGGTCAGCAGAGTGGATTGCACAGCATAGAATGCACCACATAGCTTGAACCACATATTTCGCTTCACAAATATTGTACGACATACATTCTACCTCACAGATCGCAACACATTGATTCCCCTTCCTAAAAACAGAATAGGATCTACCCCCCCCGGCGTTATCGACACCCCTTTCGGGTATGTCAATCATCCACGATTCTGACCACATGTCCATCCTAAATATGAATTTACACTATCCCAGGCCAGCCGGTTTCCCCCCCTGAGGTCCCCTTGTAAAAAAATACTGTGCGGTGGCATTTTTTGTTCTAACATAACACTTTTCACGAATTCCTTGCAACAAATGAGACGAAGTGCGCACGCGCGCGTCGACGCGCGCGCATGCCGAAATCCTTCAAAAACCTTCCGTGCCGGAAGGATGTCGCAATCGAGTGTCCAAAAAACATACAAAATCACAGGGTTTCGTAACACTGATTTGCTAAAAAAGCTTCCGCGCGAGCTCTTGCGAAATCTTAAGAACACCACAGATTTTTCAAGATTTTCACAACATGCTATTAAACGGGCTTCGCGCGGGCAAAGGCGAAATCCGTCGAACGCCCTTGCGCGTGTGCCGTCGCGAGAATCCTCTGCAAAAAACGGGACGAAGTGCAGACGCGCGCGTCGTCGCGCGCGCATGCCGAAAACCTTCAAAACCCATCGGTTACGGAAGGATTTCAAAATCGTGTGTCCAAAAAACCTACAACAACCCAAGGTTTCGCAACACGCATTTTCAACAAAAGCGTGCGCGCGCGCTCTTGCGTCGTCGTAGTCGTCGTCGCCGTCCTCCCTCCTCCCGCGTCGTCGTCGTCGTCGTCGTCGTCGTCGTCGTCGCCTACGTCGTCCTCTGTCTTTCCTCGTGTTCGTCGTCGTCGTCCCCTTTGGCGTCGTGGTCGTTTCCGTCGTCGTTGTCGCCGTGGTCGTCCTTCCTCCTCCTCCCTCGTCGTCGTCGTCGTCGTCCCTCGTCGGCGTCTCGTCGTCGTCCCTCCTATTTCGTCGCCGTCGTCGTCGTCGTCGTCGTTGTCGTCGTCTTCCCTCCTCCCTCGTCGTTGTCGTCGTCGGCGTCGCCATCCTTCCTCCTTCGTCGTCGTTCGCGTCGTCGCCGTCCTCCCTCCTCCCTCGTCGTTGTCGTCGCTGTCGTCGTTGTCGTCGTTGTCGCCGTCGTCGTCCTTCCTCCTCCCTCGTCGTCGTCTTCGTTGGCGTCGTCGTCGTCGTCTTCGTCGTCGTAGGCGTCGGCGTCGGTGTCGTCGTCGAAGTCGTCGGAGACGTCGTCGGTGTCGTCGTCGTCGTTGTCGTCGGTGCCGTCGTAGTCGGTCTTAAGAGGTTTTGCAAACCAAGTTGCGGGTGGGTGGGTGGGATGTTTGCGCGAGCAGTGGAGATGACGATTTCAAGTTCAGCAGAGTGGGTTGAACCACATAAGATGCACCACGCAGCTTGCCCCGCACGGGGTGCTCAACATAGATTGCACCACACGAGTTGTATTGTGCCAACTAGACACGCACGGTTTGGGGCCAACGCTGGCTAATACTTTACATAGGCGTTGGGCCCATGTTGAGAGGTGGGCGCTAGTTAGGGACCCATCCCTTCTTTGATCGAACCTCTAAGGCGGCCCCACGATAGCCAAGGCTCCCAAGAGTGCCCCAAGAGGGCCCGAAGAGGCGCCCAGGACACCCCGAAGAGGTCCCCCAAGAAGACTTCCAAGAGGCCCCCAAGAGGCCCCCGAGGCACCCAGGATGCTCCAAGAGGCCCTGGGGACCGCCAAGGGGCCCCCCACACGCCCCAAGAGAACTCCAAGGAGCTCTCAAGAGACATCCGAAACGACTCCGAGAGGCATCCAAGAGGCACCTGGCCTTTCTGCTCGCCCTCCTGCTCCCTTCCTCCTTCTCCTCCTCCTCCTCCTCCTCCTCCTCCTCCTCCTCCTTCTCGTCCTCCTCCTCCTCTACGTCCTCCTCTACATCCTCCTCCTCGTCCTCCTCATCCTTCTCCTCCTCCTGTCCCTTATCCGTTTATTGATTATCCTCCTCTTCCTCCTCCTCCGCCTCCTCCTCCGATTACTTCTCCATCCTCCCTCGCTTGGGGTATGACAGCTTCCCCAGCCCTCCATTCATCTGCATCCCTGATCAGGGCAAAGCGCCTGGGCACCGTCTCTGGATGGGCTGGTGGGGTCTCGCGAGGCGTCCAAAAGACCTTCCGCTCGTCTCCCTGTCGCGCTTCCGAGGAGAGCTTTCGGGGGGAACCGGCCCAGGGGACGCGCGGGAACGAGAGAGGGAGGAGAGATAAGACGAGCGCGTGGGGGAAGGAGAGAGGAATCGATGCGGCGTCGACGCGCTGCCAACGAGCCCACAAGCCCAGAGCTCCAGATCACCGTGCGGCCCGAGGCGTCCGCGTCCCTGGGCAGCCCTGGGGCAGGAGGGGCAAGACGAGGGAGGAAGGGGAGGACGAAGCCCTTCTTCGCCTCCCCATCGCATCTTCTTGCGCTTGCACTCGCCTCTCTCCCCTGCTTCCCGTCCTCCCAGTCTCCCTGTCCATCTTTCCCGTCCCGTCCGAAGTCCCCTCTCCCTTTCCATGCTCCTTCCTCCCCCCTTTGCCTCGCGCTCCGCACCCCTCTCTCTCTCTCTCGCTCTCTCTCTCTCTCTCTCTCTCTCTCTTTCTCTCTCTTTCCCTCGCTGTCTCTCTTCCTTCCCCCAAATGTTCCCCCAAGGGTTTCCTCAAGAGGCTGTCGCCCTCATTGTCTTCCCCCTCTCTCTCTCTCTCGCTCTCTCTCTCTTTCTCTCTTGTTTCTCTTTCTCCCCAAGTGTTCCCCGAGGATTTCCTTACGAGGCTGTCGTCCTCATTGTCCTCCCCCCCTCTCTCTCTCTGGCCCTCCTTCCCTGCCCTTCCCTGCCCGCCTCCCTCCCCCTCGCTCCCTCCCCGTTCTCCCCTCATCCCTTCCTCCCCTCCCTCTCTCCGGCCTCTTCCCTCTCCCCTTACAGTTAAAACGTATAGTAAGGACGCGTGGTAAGGACGCAAGACCCTTGGAGGCCGAAGTTGGGTTTTTTTAAGGGCGGCGGGCGACTAGTGATAATGGCAAGGACGGGCCTCAGAGGCAAGGACCCAAGGATACCCTTGAAAAAGTCGTTTGTCCTTACTATGCGCGTTGACTGTATGCCCTCCTCCCCTGCCCTCATCCCCCCGCTCTATCCCTGCATTGATGACGCGCTAGCGGCTAGCGTCAACCCCGTACAGTAAGGACGTGCGATAAGGATGCAAGGGCCTTGGACGCCCATTCCGAGGCGTTTCGAGCGGGGCGCGGCCAACGAAAGTGGCCAAGGCTGGACCGAGGAGGCAAGGATGCAGGATTACCCTTGGGAAGGTTGCCCATCCTTACTATGCGGGTTGACCGTAGCGCCCGCTTGCTAACATTTTCAACAAGAACCAAACATAGTCCAACAATCGTCCCCAGACTATTTTCTGAGTGTTGCTGAACATTCCTACTGTAGAGGGACGCGTCCGATGTTGTCGCAATTGCCAGCCGAAAGGCAGTCAGGCGGATCGACGAGCACGCGGTATGACCTGGACAGGCATTGCAGCATCGCAGCAGACAAGCTCGAAGAACCATCCTCCTCGTCGTTTTCGTCGTCCCCCCCACTCCTCCGCCCTCGTTCTGCTCCTCCTCCTCCTCCTCCTTTCTGGCAGGCCTTGCCGCCGCTGTCGCCTACCTTCCCCTCGTACTCGACGTCGAAGCTCATGTCCATGAGATGTCTGGCGGGCGCGCAAGGCACCCCGCACTCGCCCCCGAGGAGAAGCCGGAGGAAGCCTTGGAAGGGAAGCAGATGGCCAGAGGGAGGACAACTTACCGTCGCTCGGACGGTCATTTCCCGTGCATTTGTCCGGTTTCGCGCGTGTTTTTTTGCTCGATGGTCCCGAATGGTCCTCGATGGTTCTCGCGAGAAAAAATGCACGCGTCCGAGCGATGCCAAGAGAAAGAGACAAAACGGTGGGCTCCCGTCGCGTTCCACCCCGTGCTTCCTCCCCCAATGAGGGGGAAAAAAAAGGGCTGGCCTTGGGCTCGCGCGGGCCGTGCGGGGAGATCACATCTCTTGTCCTCTCCCGCCCGTGCTGCTCGGCGCTTGCGGCCCGCTTTGCGTCTGGGCGGGGGGGGGTGGCGCTCGTGGCCGGCTGTCGCGCTTTGATGCCGCGCTCTGCGTCACCTGCGACAATTTGAATGTCCGCTCCGGCGCCTGAGGGGCCCTCTCCGACCATGCCTTAATCTTGTGGACGCCACGACAAGGGACACTCTAACAAACCCTATCATTGAATTAACTATGTGTTTGAAAAGTGTAAACCATGTTCTAAAAATGTTCCAAACATGTCTTTACATATTTAAAACATGGTTGGAGCGTTTTTGGCCGCCTGGAGGTTGTTTCGCGGCGCGTTTCCTTTCCATTGGTCGGCTTCCGCGGCCTTAGTCCCGCCGGCCCTGTGGGCGGGGGTGGTCAGGAGTGCTTCCTCTTCTGGCATGATTATTCTCACTCGGGGGGCGGCTGGGCCTGCCGCTCTCCCCCTGGGCCTGGGCGGGGGTGAGGGGACCACGTGGGGCGTCCAGGGTGGCCTGGGGCGGCTCGGAGATGATGGCCTCACGACGACCTTTCTAGGACATCAGCATGTTTGCTGCCTCGCCTTTTCGCTTCCGATGGGCATCGGAAGCCTCGGGGTGGCCCCGTGAGGGCCTCGGGGCGGCCCGGGCGGCCTGCAGGGCTGCCCCGGAACGCCCCAGGGCGGCCCTGGGGGCCTTCCAGGGTGGCCGCCAGCGGGGTCGGGCGGGCCGAGAGCGCCGTGGGGCGGCCCCCAGGGGGCCTCCGGAAAGCCTCCAGGGGGCCGGGAGGCCGCGATATGGGTACGCCGGCATGCCGCTTCTTGCTCTTCCTCCTCCTCCTCCTGCTGTTGCTGCTGCTGCTGCTGCTGCTGCTGCTACTACTACTACTGCTGCTACTGCTGCTGTTGCTGCTGCTGCTGCTAGTACTAGTACTAGTAC